GCAGCCGGCAAAACTGCAATAGTCCTATAGGCAGCTAAGGACGTTTTTGTGATGGCGGGCGTATAGCCGCGGCGACGTACGCCCCGTCAACCTGGCTGAATAAAATTCTCGCCCCGATCGAGCGCATGAATGACTCTCTTCATCTTTCGTACATCTGCAGAAAAAAAAAAAAAAGAAAAGAAAAAAGGTTTCGGGTTTATAGCTTAAGCAAACAATTGAGCCGACTAAAAAAATTGGATGGTCGCGAGTCTATAGCTCGGGAGACATACATCCCTCTATAGCCGGCTAAAGCACATTGTAAGGTCGGAGGCTATAGCTTTGGTGACATAGAACACTATTGAGTCGGCTAAAGAAAATTCAATGGTCGCTATTCTATAGATTTAGGGACATACACCACTCTATAGTCGGCTAAAGCACATTGAATGGTCGGAGGCCTATAGCTTTGGTGACATAAAACACTATAGAGACGGCTAAAGAAAGTTCGATGGTCGCGAGTCTATAGATTTAGGGACATACACCACTCTATAGCCACCTAAAGAACATTGAAAGGTCAGAGGCCTATAGCTTTGGTTACATAAAACGCTATAGAGTAGGCTAAAAAAAATTCAATGGTCGCGACTCTATAGATTTAGGGACATACACCACTCTATAGCCGGCTAAAGCACATTCAATAGTCGCGAATCTATAGCATCAAGGACATACATATTTCTATAGCTCGCTAAAGAATAATGAATAGTCGCGAGTCTATAGCTGCGTAGTCATAAATTATTCTATAGCCAGGTATAGAAATCGGAATGGTCGAGATTCTAAAGCTTTGAAGACATACATTTTTCTATAGGTGGCTATAGCGTGCTTTATGGCTTCTAATGGCTGACCATAGAGGGCCATAGAAGGTGATAGCTCACCATAGGATTTTCCATAGACGTCCATAGACCATTTTTGTATGGGTGTCAGCGTTTCCACATCCAAAAGGAGGCTGATCAAGAAAGAAAGCACACCACATAAACTTCCATACTCAAACGTCGATTCTCCAGTGATTCCGAGTGTCATTGTCGTTTTCTTTAGATTTATATTTGTCACTTTTTTACCGTTCGAATCTTTCTTCATGAAGTACAGATTGCGTGCCATACTTGTCCGGAAATATCATCGGCACGTACGATGGGGACAAAACTTCTTTGGAGGGCATTCCTCCAACAAAATTGGCACTGCATACCCGTGAGTGTGGGATGGCATTTCAGTTTGTCCCACCGGCGCTGACAGATGTAGGCGTTACTGGTACGAAAACAAACGCAGAGCGCAGAGCGGCAGTGTAGAATATGTCAGCCGTGCCGACACAGTGGCAGACATGATCGGGAGACCAAATTTAACGCGTCGTGCGGCACGGCTCCATCGTTGTCGCTGTCCCGCAAAACATCGGCGAGGTGAAAAACTGTGAAACGTTGTCCCCACGAGATAGGACGCATAACTATTGAAGCTCTTAATGACGCAGCACAGGCAGCACTTCTCATGCTGTGAACCCAGCGCAACCGCACCGCTCCGACTTCAATGCGTACCAACGTACGCGGCGTGGTTTCGGTTTCGTTTTCTCTAGGGCTCTCACTGCCTACCTTCGGTGCCGGCCGCGCGGCGGCGCGCCAGTCGCGTCGCACGGAGTGTATAGTGTCTGACAACACTCGCAGGGGGATCACGCGAGTCTCTAGGTATAAAAACGGGCACCACAAAGCACCCAATTTAGGGGCGATCAAGTGATTCCCTGAGAGTTACGGTACTAAATAATGCCTGGATTTACGGGTGTCACATGAGTACCTGGGTGTCACAAAAGGCGCCAAAAAGCACCGTATTTAGAAGGGATTCGTTGACTCCCTGAGAGTTGAAAATGGTTTCATATAATTCCTCTAATTAGCAGTGTAATATAAGTACCCGAATGTAACAGAGGGCTCCTAACAGCACCCGAAGTAAGGGGTGTCGGTTGAGGCCCGTGGACTTTGAGGGGGGTGCTAAGTGATCCGGTATATCTAGGGAGTACTTAAATTCCCCAACTTGAGAGGATACCACAAACACCCCAGGGGAGTCACATATGGGACACGGTCTAACTCCCCTGAGGGGAGTACCCGTATACACCCTTTTTTCTTAGAGTGTACTGGTATATACACGTGCATCTAAATTCAAAACTTTCAAAGAACTCTTCGTCTGTGTCCGCATTTTATTCTGACAATCATCAGAATACTATAGTGTTAAAAAAATTAGGGATTTTACTTGAGCTATCTTGAATATTTTTCTTATATATTCAACTTTGAGGAGCAGTCTTTCAGCGCAGCACCAAAACACAGCGGCGAAGCCAGTTTTAGGTGAGGTCGTACCGGTTACGCTCTTACGCGAAGCGATAGTGGAGCGAGCTGTAGAAGAACTGCAACTTTCATGCAGCTTGGCGTGCACAAATGCTCTATAAAAAAGTGCGGTTTTAGATTTTTTACATAGTTTGTTAAAACGTTTTGTAAAAAAATTATTGTTTTGCATCAAGTATGAAGGTCTATCGGAGTAATGATTTACTTTTCAATGTGGAAAGTAGCCGATCTGGTTTCTAACAAATAAAAATGTGAAAGGCGGAATAGCGATTGTTTGTTTTCCCTTCCATCTCTACACCTATTTACATGGACAAATGCTTTACGAATAAAGCTGCCATTAATGTCAGTATCACGTCAGAAAGGTTCTCTCTCTCCCGTCAAGCGGATAAACGCATTAATATTGCCTGTTATACTATACACTGCAGGACAGTTAGCAGGAATATGACACCGTTTTGTGTCTCTGTGTCTGTATGTGTGTGGCGGTGCGCCTGCACCAGCGTGTGTGCATGCATGTTGGTTTGTTTGTTCGTTTTGTACGTGTTTTACTTGTGTAATACTATAAATAAGTTTTATCGCCTCAAGATGCGCCTATTCTCCACGGTGGCAGTTTTGACAAAGATCGTTCATTGCTTAGCCAGAACCACTATAAACCAGAAATCGCTTCTTCGCTTTTTTTTCTTTGTGATGCTCTGTATCAGGGGTTTCAAACAAGCGGCTGGAAGGGGCCGCAGATAACCGGCTGTGAGCACCAGTTCTCAAACGCTAGAAATGGCATGCCCCCCCCCCCCCCCCCTTTGCCTTCCCGCCATACGTTGGTCGATCCTCGACCTGTCTGGAGTGGGCTGGCTGCCCCCCCCCCCCCCCCCCCCCCCCACTTGAACGGGTTTGATATATATATATAAGGTGTGTTTTTCTAACCTTAACAGATTTGCTTAAAAAAAGCCGTGAAAGTTACACTTATGCCGCTTGTGGAGGTGAGTTATACGGCCAGGGGGGCATAATATAGGGGGCTAATCGTAAAGATCAGTTGGTTAATTAACTAAAATTTGTTAATTAACATATTAATTAATGAAAATAGACATATGGTTCCAACTAGAAACTTGCTCAGCGTTATCGAAAACCACTAAATCAGTCATTTTCAGAAAGACTTTGAGCGCGTGAAAAGCGTAGTAGTACACTAAAGTTACCACTCGTGGAGCAGGTACAAAGCTAGCAATTGCGATAAGGCGCCCGCGCGATTTTTCCCTCTCTTATCTAGCCCCAGCCTTGTATCTCCTCCAGGTGTGGGAACTTTAGTTATAATACTATGCTTCCCGCGCGCCGAATGTCTTTCTGAAATGACTGATTTAGTGGTTTTCGATGACGCTGAGCAAGTTTCTATTTGGAACCATATGTCTATTTTCATTACTTAAAAAGTTATTTAACGAATTTTAATTAATTAGACGACTGATCGTTACGATTAGCCCCCTATAATAGGTCCCCCTGGCCGTATAACTAACCTCCACAAGCGGCATAAAAGTAACTTTCACGGCTGTTTTTAAACAAATCTGTTTTGCTTAAAAAAAAACACCCTGTATATATATATATATATATATATATATGGGGGTTTTCGTCTCAAATCGGGCAGGCTACACGGGTCTAATTTTTTAATTTTCACGAAGAAAAATATATGTTTTGGGGCATTTCTCAAATGAAGGAGGGCGCAAACTGCATGTACCTCAGATTTTTTGTTCTCGAGTTACGAGCCGTAGAAACCGCAGTGGCAGAAACTAGTGTTTTTGCCTGCCGTCGCAGGTCGCGTGTTTGACACCCTCTGCTGGCGCTAGTGTTTTTTCTGCACCCTTTTAACTTTTCCCCCTCATTTACTAGGTATTATAAAGATACCATGACGTATTCAAATATTTTTAGGAATTTGGTTGTTTTCTAAAATATATGTAAAACTCGTCACTCCGGTCGCTTTTTGGTCAAATTTGACAGGTCATTACTTCGTCTGTACTTAAGGTAAATTTTCTTTCTTGGAATTGACTTCCACATTTCTTATAATGTGCCAATGTGGCGGTCGTGGTTTGATATAGTTTAGCGTGCCGGGCGTGCGGTTTTTCACCCATTTCGGCTAGCACTAGTATATTTCAGCTCATCTTGCCACTTGCTATACATTTAATTGCTAGCAGATGTCCATGATATTTTGCGAAAACAAATGGCGTGATAACTGTCATCAAAAGGAAAACGATGTCTAAAAATATTTCTGATGAGAACATCTGCGGGTTCGCGCTCTCTCGTACTTACAAACTCAACTAGGTACGAGTTTCCTGGAGTTTCTCTCAAAAACAAGTAATACAATTTCGATTTTAGCCAATCCCTAGCCGCCTCTCTGTTGCCGCGCCCTGTTTTCCGCAGCTGTAACGAAGTATGCTTCCAAACTCACGGAAGTTTAACAAACGTACGACTCGGGAAACTACACTGACAGCTCAAACAATTTTGTTTTTGTCGGCCAACCTCGGGACCTGGGTATGGGCTGTTCGGTGTATTAAAGCCTGCGAGGGAAAGCACGCATGCCCTCTTCCTGTTCACCGACGTTGGAGAACGACAGCTGTTCATTCGGCAGCGCTTTTTGTAGTAAGCGCCGTACTGTACTCCAGCTTCAAGCCCCTTACAGCGAAGTCAGAAATATATCAGCAAGGTAGGTTTACATTTTTGGCATTTCTTGCCAAAGAATTTTGCGGTGCACAGAAATCCCTAGTGAAAAACAAGATATATAAGAACATATAAAAACCATATAAGAAACTTCTCACAAGTCTTTTATATGGCGCTTGTATGTTCTCAAATATCTCATATAGTTCTTATATGATTTGTATACGTTCTTATATATCTTGTATGAATGAAGTGTGTTTATTGGACACCGAAACTTCTCATACAAACGAGAATTTTCAATAGGGATATTAGTGTAGAGGCATGGCCGTTGAGAATACGACATCGCAGGCGACTCTGACACGCTAAAAAAAGTTACCCTTGTTTTCATGCTAGGCGTTAAAATGGTGTATCAGGACATCATCAAACAACTGTTTCACTATAAAGTTGCATAGCTTTTCTTATAAAAGATATAAATACGAAGCCCAATTCAAAGTGCCCGCCAGTGCCTTGTGACGTAAGCATGTACCGCAAGACGTCGGGCCGATCAGAAGAGAGGCATCATCGGAAGTCACGTGAGTTGTATGACTCCGCTTGTTTACCGCGACCGCGTGTGATATTTCTTAATTTTTTTTTGTTATTCTCCGCACCTCCGCGAGCGATACTAACAGACAAGGTTTGTTTTATTTGCTGTTTATTGCTTAATATTGTTGTGAAGGTAAAAGAAGAGGAGTCAGTGAGTTGACGTGATCAACTACAATGCCTAGAAGGTGCTGTGTTAGGAACTGTCCCGGTCATGTGCACCTAGTCAACAAGTTCTACTCATGTTCTAGACAAAACACGTACTTTATGCTCGACGTTTATTTGTACTTGGTCCACTCACCGGTTCGTATTCTCTAGGCGGCAGGCATCTTCAGCCTGGAGAGTATCCGATGATTCGACGACCTAGGTGACTGAATCTTCAGAAGAACAACCGCGCCTGTCGTATGCAATCAATCCTAATTTCTGCGAGCGTTCTAAGTTGTTTTTTTTCAAAACTCGATAGCTTGTTTCGTGCCCAGTATTACTCTGTACCGTCGGACTGATGGCATGCACTCGTACACTGGCTTGTATTCGCAACGATTTCATCATTGACCTCCATCACGTCGATCCACTGACACTTCGTCCAGAACTTTTACAGCATACAAACTAAGAAACGGTGCACTGATAAAAAGCTAGTGGAACTGAAACTTCGCTTTCTACGATCGCTCATGGAAAAGACCAGAATAACTACAATAAAGAAAAGTCTTAGGCATGGTCGCGGAGAGCACGAGGAGTGAAACTCACGTGACTTCCGGCGAAGCTACTTTTAGTGACGTAAGTAGATGCCTCCCTTCTGAACGCCCCGACACCTTCCGGTACATGGTTACGTCACAGGGCACTGGCGGACACTGTGCATTAAGCTTCGCATTACTTCTTTTTAGTAAGAAAAAACTACGCAATCGTAGAGTGAAAAAAAATATTTGGTGATATCCTGATACACCAATATAACGCCTAGCATGAAAAGGAAAAAAAAATTGGCCTGTCAGATACCTTTTAACAGGAAGGTTAGGAGACGAGAGCGCACGGGGGACGTCAGACCGTCGAGCTCTGGTTGGCACGATTAGCTAAAGCTAGCAGGTTTCTGTCTCCACTTCACTCGTCCAACGTGTTAGAACGCGGAACATTGGCGTCCGGCGTTTGACTCTCGCATTCGAACGCGTTCCACGAGTGCAATGGAGACAAAGACTCAAGACAAGGCCTTAGGACTACCCAGCAATCATTGGAATCACAATTTGCGACCTTCTTACGTCCCCACGCGTTCTCGTTTCCTCCTCTCCCTCAGCTTCTCAGCGTATATTAAAAGTTCATATAAAAGCACGAGTTGAGGGACCTGTAGCGCTGAAAACACGTGGACTTCCATGCTACTTAAAATAGAAACTATTTTTAATTATCATTATAAACTCGGAGCTAGCTAACTGACCGAGTACCGGGATCAGTTAGAATGAGAATGGCGGTTGGTCAGAGCTTCAGCCTCGGGACGTGCGTGTTCATGCCCCAGTGGTCTTTCGCACGTGCAAAAGGCGCACTGGAGCTTGTCGGCGATGCTTCTTCTTTACTGGCATCTGTTGGGTCTTTTGACGGTCACAGACCTTTTCGGAACCCGTTGCAATGATCCTAAGCCTGCCATTGCCTGGACACGCACTCTGAGCTTGCATCGGGCAAGAGAATCGCGTCAGCGTTCAATGAGCACTCGGATCCAATCACACGCGTCGCGCAGCGAAATTGGCGACCTCCAATGTTGCTTGATGTACACTTGATGACTCGTCGCCCCTGTGAGGCAGACCAAGTTCTAGGCTGTATAAACACACACACAACCCAATTTTTGATGTACACTTGATTGAACAGGGTCGTTTACTGTATAGAGGAGAATGTTCAAAGTTATATGTTTAGCTTGTACTATCCCCCGACCATGCTTAGAATTTCGTTCTTTGACTCCGACTGAGAAGTCGTACGAGGTTTTCTCATTCCTTCAGCGCGTCATTAACCAAATGTTAAAAAGAAATGTTTTTTTTTAATTGCAAAATCAAACTACGATTCGCCGTACGCTCATTCTCCGCCCAAATCTGGCGTTAGCGATTTGGACCGGACGCCATATTTCCACAACTAGCTCTTATTTGGTTAAAAGTTTATGATTCTATAGGGAAATAATAAATGGAAGCGTTCTCGCTCCTCTTTATGGATTCGCGGGCTCTGTTGGCCTCCGTTTCTTCCTTACAAGCTTTCCAGAAATTGCTTATAACTTAAAAAAAAAAAGATTGTTAATTAAAAATAAGTTTTACAATTGTTGACATCTGGTTCTAATTGCTGGGGCTGCTTTTGGGCGGAGAGTGGGCTTACGGCGATAAGTATAAGCGACAAGATGGTTTGGTGGCGCCACCTCGCGGGCGCCCTTCGGTGGCACGCTAATTGGGCGATCACATAACTTTATTTGATGGAAAGGACATTAACTTTGCCGTGTGATATTGAATTCTGTCAATTGACTGCCATGAAAAATCGCTCCAACTGACAGCCACACCTCTGGAAATGATGCCTATTCTCAAGTCTATTTCAGGGCTTACCAACCGTCCTTGTTTGCGGAATGACTAAGCAGGAAACTGACAGCGACGCCGCCGGTTGGGACAACTGGCTCCAATGCCGGAATATGAATTTTGACGAAGTTTGCCATGTTGTGGACATCTGGAAAGAGCATGACATGGTACAAGGTGAAGACAACGCGAAACAATTCTTCGAGGTGGACCCGGAGGGTTTCTTTGTCGCTGTCGATAAAAGAACAGGTGAGTATTCTCGACTACCTCGAGAAAGTTATATGCACTCTCGAATGGCGCAAATTGTGTAGTTTTCAAAAGTACCGCCTGGGGAGTAGTAGTGCGGCAGCAACCGAAGGTTAAAGATTCAGATCTTGGCAATTTCGACCGGACAATTTCGGACTCGAAAAATTCAGTGCCTCTTATGTTATTCCTAAGACGACTTGAAGGCGAAAGCCCAAGCACCGATCCCTTTGATGGCGAGCCTCCGAAGAGAGCGCTCTCTGACGTCGCACCTTTTGGCGCCGTTAATCTCACGGCATGTTTCACGCCCGCTCTTCACTGCTGCCCGGGCGAGAGTGTCATCTTCTGTCGTCGGGTTTCGCCACGCGCACGCCTCTGCCGATTCTGTTACAAGTAACGCCATATCATGGTCCAGTGGCGAACCGTGGGTTTTGGTACCTTTCGCGTCGCCGACGTGTTTTTTTACCTTTCGTGTAGCCTACGTGTTTTTGTACGTCTCGTGTCGTCGACGTGTTTTCGCCCAAGAACTTTGAAGGTAGACTGAACAATCAGACATACGAGGCTTTCGCCTTAGACCGATCTAAGCGCCCGGCGCATCCGTGACGCCGCCATAACTTTTGTTTCTCAGGAGGCAAACGGCAGTGTGCGAGAGGGCTCGTGCCGTCCCGTGCTCTATACGCGCCGAGCTCCAGCTATAGGTTTTCGCACGTGCAGAAAGACGACGGTGTAACATAAATACTCTTCAGGCGAGGACAGCGCGCTCCTCGCGCAGTGCAGATAAAGTTTGCTTTTCACTCTATCTCTTTCTCTCTCACTATGGTTTCAAGCGGCGGCGGCAGATGACTCGTCGACCCGTGGGCACGGCAAAGACGGCTCTTGCCGCCTCTTGCTCCACACGCGCAGAGCTCCAGCGAGGCTGTCGCTCGTGCAGAAAGACCAGGGGTTCCGGCGTGTCATGGCAACGAGATAATTTTTTTTTCGCTCACACACAGTTTCGCCGTTTGGCCGCCGGCGACACTGTCAGCCGCGGGCACGGTGACCGCGGAATAATGCAGCCTTTCGGATGCCCGTCGAACGAACACTACCTGAGTCCTCGCGCCGCGAGTTCAGCCCCGCCGTGTCCTCACCTAAAGGGTGGATCTTACACCGTGAGAGAAACTTAAGTTCTCTCGATGCATTGTGGCAGCGGTGGCGAAATCAAACTGGCTGGTGAGGTCGGTCTACTGACGCAGCAGCTTCTAGATGAGGCGCCCTCATGAAAAGATACTTTTGTGTAAGATTACACAATAAATAAAAAAAAAATTACATCGTTGAAGTCAAGAAGACAAAGAAGTAGACACGCACTTTAATGTCTGCGGGGAATTTCGTGTAATTGGGTGTTTCTTTCTCTGACAGGCCAAGTGGTGGCTTCGTGCGCATGCGTTCGGCAGAACCCTTCACTTTTCTTCCTCGGTCAGTACGCGGTTCGGAAGAGACTCCAGGGCCAAGGTGTAGGGCCCAGGCTCTGGAAATTCATGGAGCATCGCCTGGGCGACTGCAACGCGGGCATCAGCGCAATGCCCAAAACTTTCCCCGTGTACCGGGACAAGGCGGGTTTGCCCCACATCGAGCCCTGGACAACAGTCATTTACAGCGCGTCCACAGTGACACCGGAGAAGCTACCCACGCCGCCAGATGATCTTCGTGTGGTGTCCATTGACGAAGCGCTGATGCCAAAGGTATCTAAGTTACGCTGCCTACGTAGGGTATTTTTAAGCGCTTATTCGGTCAAAAATAATTCGCATGAATAAACAAATTAACTAAGTTGAGTGAAACTTTTCACAATTGTATCCTTATGTAGTGCGTGTATAATATAAACATTTTACAAACGTAGGGATTAGCAAAAAAAAAAAAAAAAAGAAAGAAAAGCTTTTTGAGATGAATATCTTAAAGCTCATCCACCAGACCCGAACGTCTGTTGTATCATCTGTGAAATGCAGCGTCAAACCTGACGGTTTTTGCTGTTTCCATTCCTGTGCATTAAAAAAAAAAAATTAGGTTTAAGATATATCTACTGAACCTTGAATGCATTCAGTTCGCACCGCTCAAGAATACCCAGTCAGTATATCTTCAAATTGCTTCACCGCTATAAAAAAATAAATAAAAAAGGCGTAGTTATTACGTCTTTTGTCATATTTTATACGCCAAAACTTCAGTTCGACATACAGCGCACTGACGTCGAATTGGCGGCCCCAATAGACCATTCCATTTAGCGCTCTCTGGGCGGCACCATTTTGTTCGACAGCAGCGCCCTCTCCATACATCCGGGAAATTCAGCGGGTTCGGCGGGGTAAAACGAGAGAGAGGGCACGCGCCCGACTCCGCTAGCAGACGACAAAACGGGAGGTTGCCATTCTCCATCTTTGGGCTGTACCGGCGGGCTGTACGGAACATCGAACTCTCGCTCGTGGCTGCCGTTGTGAAGTGGTTCGCGTTCATAGAATAGTTATGGCTACTCCAAAATCAGCCTAAAACTCTCTGTTCCTCTACTTCGGTAAATGATCGACTGACATCTTTTTTCCGTTACTTCAATAGCAGTTGAGTCAGCCGGCAGTATACTACCCTCAACTACTGCGTGTATTGAGGCAGGAGAGCACGTTTTTAATAATTATTTCAGACATCCACTCATGGTCGCTAAAGGCAAACACCAGTACGAACTTTGTATAGTAAAAAAGGTACAGCCACCGGATTCACTTTTCGCCGGAGAGACCGGCCATTCTGACACAGTTTTCCCTTTTTTTTTATTTACACGCACATAACAGCGCAATTGAACTCTGTTAGTCTTTTTTATCTAGCATAGTAATACACGATAACTGGCATACCAAAATCTGCACATCTGCGCTTGAAATTCCCAAAATGACGCGATTTTAAACAGAGTTTGTACGCCAGCCGGATGATAGGTACTGCCCACTCGGCGGAGCAGACGACACACAGGCGAGAGGGGGAGGGCATTTTTTTCTCTTTTTACCCTCTCTGCTATGACCCTAATGGAACGGTCTATACGCGGGGCTCGATGACGGTGGGATATAACACATTGAACAGCTAAAGTACGTTTCAATAGCTGCAGAAAAAAATACCGCAAGGTTTCGCAGTAGGACCAAGAGAACCATGATTACTTTTTTTGCAGTCAGTCACAGATACACCATTTATCTTAATAAGTTGTACAACTCGGCAATGAAGTCGCTCGTGAAAGTTGGGACCGTCGGTTCATCGTGAGTGTGCTGTACGTCGAACTGAAGTTTTGGGTGTATTACATGTGACAAGGGGTGTAATAATCTGCCTTTTGTTGTGTGTGTGTGCATTCCGAATATGATTCATCTCTACGATCGACGACATTACAACTAAACAAAACAATTATTTATATGTTTTCTTTTTTTTTATTTTTTTTTATATTACGTCGTTGGAAATTTGTAAACCGTTTTTCTTAAAGAGGGCAAAAGAGTAAAAAGTAAGGGGCTGCCGGCGCTTTCCTCCTTACTGAGTGGTTAGGAACGAGCGAAAGATTGAGATAAACGTCTTGGACGCGTGTATTTTTCCACGTTCGCTTGTTCTCTTCGCGGTTTATTCTTTTTTAAAATTTTGCTTCCAGTTGTAATTTGACCTGGTGGACTTAATGATGGGAATTCCCTGGTCATCTGGACATTCTAGTTCGGTAATAGGCTCCGGTAATAAAAACCCAGAGCGAAGAATATTATGGGAGGGCATCTGTATCATAAACGGGATACGAAAAGCCAACTGTTTTTTGAAATTCGTTCAAACTTCATCGCTTTTCAAACGACCAAACCCTCCGGCGGCAGTGGGTTGCGTCCGTGGACAGAAAATACTTTTCCCCGACGCCATCCTCTCGAGTGTAATCGGAACATTTCGTGAATAAAGCGCGCACCCAACTTACCGCTGCAACGTCGATGAACATGAGCTACGCTCGCATGGTGGGTGCAAGTTTTCTCCTAAGAATCGCGGTTTCAGCTTGAAGCTTTTCGTAACTTAATTTATTTTAATGCTACTATTTTGCAGTGGTGACATTGATTTGATTTTCTTATCTCCAACGCTTAGTTGAACGCTCATTTCCGCCGCCGAAAGTGGCTGGAAATTGTAGAAAAGTTAGTTTTATCGGCTTTCCATAATCGCGATCTCTTACGCGATGGCAAAGAGCCGTGGACTTGGGATAATCGTCACAACGCGACTTCTGTCCTCTCATTTTGCAAATTAGTGCATAACGTAGCTGGAAAGAAAATATCAATTACTATTGCTGAAACATGCTCATGCATTGATTTCGGATAGTCGAACAATTGCTCGACTCGCTCCGGCAATGGGCCCATCTGGACTTCGATGTTTCCAGTTTTAGACAAAGGACACACTCGACAATCCGGGATCCTCAATTACAACTTTTATAAACATCTGCAAGCCAAAGAGAGCAGCCTTCGATCGTTTCCTGCAATGACTTCATCTTACGCGTCCTTGTTCACGTTATATTTTATTGTTGTGGACGACACGAAATGCCAAAGATATTATGGGTGTACTGTGTCTAAAACGAAATAAATCTGAGGGGAAATTCAATCGCTGTAAAGGGATACAATGTTTGTTGTACTCACCTCCGATTACACTCAGTGGCACGTTCGGTGCCACCTCGAATTTCTCTCGGCATCGCCGCACAGGTAAATGCCATAATCAGTTGGAAAAAATAACCGCATATCCACGTGGTGAATGATGTTGATTAAGGCGAAGCTCTGGTGGTGCTGATACGCTGAGCCCCGGCATGCCGAGCTTTTCGTTCGTTTTCATCCATGTCAGAGAGAGAATGTGTGGTTTGGAACGTGGTTATACACGCATTTGAGCATTGGACCGCAGCGCCCTCTCGCCTATAAATGTTGAGCCAATGCATGCAAAGTTTAACGCGATCATATATGCGTCTGACCGCAGCGCCCTCTCCTGTATAGACGTTGAGCGGCTACATGCAACGTTGCATCCATAACATCCCCAGCTCTTGAGTTACTACCACATCTCAGAGCCTCGCCTCGCAGTCGTAGCCGAGTGGTTAAGGCGATGGACTAGAAATCCATAGGGGTCTCCCCGCACAGGTTCGAATCATGCGACTGCGTAAACATTTTTTTTTTTTTTTTAAGAAGACAGATGGGATGAATATCGATGTGAACACAGACGCCGGACAAGGCTAGACCCTAAGAAGCTTCACCCCTAAAACGCCATACGCAGCACATAAGAACACAAGACGCTCCCGAAGTCGGATACCCACCACTTTGGAGAACTCTACCAACACACGCAACGCAGGAGCGGCGCCCCAAGGAGTGCTTTCGCCAACATTTCTAATTAATCAGCATGGCCGTGGAACTTGAAGCTCGTTAGGTGGCGCTACTGTATTCAAAATGGCGCTACCCGCGATAAAAACCGCCTAGAGGGCGTTATGAACCTAAGAGGCTCGCTCTAAATTAAAACGGAAAAATCGGCGCATGAATGTACCAAGCCAGTCATCTGCGTGCTAAAACCAACATTTAAATATCCCCGTGTTTTTTCAGTTCCGTGATGTCACCGTCAAATAGGCCTGCAGGTCGAGCTGGAAGTCTAAAGAAATTATGGACTGTGCCGAGCGTTTGTTTCTTGCTGTTGCGTGGAAGCATGTAGCAAGGTTCAAAGCATTCATTGGGCACGATGAAACTGCTTGTAATCAGTTAAGAATCCTACAGTCCAAAGGGTGAACCCTTGCGAACCGTGCCTGCCGCTGGCGTCATTTGTTTTGTTGTTGCCAGTAGAGACTTTCAGCTTGAAAAAAACGGTGAGGATCAATACAGACTCAATAAGTGATTTCTTCACAAGATGGCGCTCCGCTCCAAACAAACGGTTGCTTAGGCCGTTGTTATGGACAAATGCATAGGGGCTCAACGCGAGGTAAGAAATTCTCTGATAAAAAAAAGTAAGTAATTTTTATAGGCATTCTGACTCCTCAATATATAATCGTGAAGACTTTTTTCTATTGTCTCAGTAGCATAAAGCGATGAAAAACGCTAGTAATAAAGTTTCGCAACCGAATTTGCGTTGCTAGCAGACGACGCAGTGGCTTGGTCGGGTTCAGTGGTTCTTTCTCAGGGAGTACACGACCGCGCTGAATGAGGTAGGTGACGATCGACGAAACTTCTTTTCTCGGGTTACGTCACACTTACGGGGTCAATTATAATATCAATAACTTCGCGAGAAAGAAACCCAAAGACCTTGGACATAATATCTGGATTGCTAGTCCAGCGATGTTCGTTGATTTGTTTAGTAGGGGTGTGCGAATATTCACGTTATCGAACTAGGAATCGAACATTACCCTATTCGATTCGTTAATCAAATCGAATAATAATTTTCAAGAGTTTCGATTACTCTTCGAATAATTTCTGAATAGTCGTTATGGTGTCGCGCAGCGAGATTTTATTTCAGGCGCCCCACAACGCGCAGGAGTGCCTGACAGACGTGTCGCAAGATGGCAATACGTATCCCCTTCTTTGAGGCAATTATCATCATCATCAGCAGCATCAGTTTCTCTCGATTTGTACGTACCGACAGCCCATTCTACTGGCGGCAAACTGTAGTGAGGAAAAGCATGAGACCCCCCCATGTGCGGCGCGACAATACCTGACCATTCCCGCAACCGAGGTGGCAAGCGAGGGACTGTTCTCAACGTGCTCGAACAATGTGACAAGCCGACGAGAGTCTCTTGCTGCAGAACACACGCAAAAGCTTGTAGTTTTTGCATAGGAACTATAAGTACCTCAAGCTGACGTAAAAACCCTTGTCATTTTCTGATCTGCGAAAATAAGATATCCATTGTACTGTTTCGATTCATTCACATATGGCTGGTGAATATAAATCTGATGAGCTCTAAGATTCCTCTCTTTTTTTAGTTCCCCGCGAACTGTGATTTTATGTTCAGCACCCGCGTGAACCTTGATATTATGTTTAGTACTCTAACAATTTAGTAGCTTTTGTCTCCATTTAATTATATATCGTTGAACTCTAGTCAATATTGTGTAGTCGCATTGTTACATTGATAGACATGTTGGAACATTAAATAAATTTGATATTCTGTACTATTTTTAAGCGATTCGTATTCACATTTGATTCCGTGCCAGAAATATTCGATTCTTATTGGATTCGGTTTCGAAAATCATTATTCGCACACCCCTAGCGTTTAGTAAAATCTCGGGCATATCGAAACCATGAAGAAAACACTGACGCCCGTCAGTGGCAATAAGAGTACAAGAGCGTGCCTTGAGGGTTATAGAACTGGGTCCTGTGTTCATAAAGCTTGAATCTTGGTCATGTGGCATCAGCATCTTAACCACATTCCCTGCGTTTTCGCTTTTCGTTTTTGGCCCTTACCTCTGCTTTCAACTGCAGGTGATCGCCTACGACGCCCTCGTTCATGGTTACGACCGCGGAAGGATGATCAGTCTGACGATGGGTTCCGGGACGGGCACATCGAGGGCTGTCGTACAGCGGCAGGGCGGAGATGACGTAATCTGTGGTTTCGGCAAAATCAACAGCAACATTCCGCAGGGCGCCGTGGTGGGTCCCATCTACGCTAGGGATCGAGAGGTCGCCGCCGTGCTTCTGCGGAACCTTGTGGAAAACAAGCCGGAAGCACGAGTCATGGTCGTCATGTTTGTGCCGAACTGTAACAAGGATGCCTGCGGTATTGCCGAAGACCTGGGCCTAATTGAAAGTGTGAGACTACCCCGCTGCTTCCGCAAGGAAGGCGTGGCCCTTCGCTTAGAGCTGGTCTATGCCCAACATGACACGAATTTTTGCATCGCTTAAAAGAAAAAAAAAACAGTATTATCAGTTATGATATCACGCCTCACCAAGCCGTCAAAGAGCAGAAGCACTCCATTTTTTAGTTTAATTGCTTTTCTTTTGTCTTTGATTACTGACATCAGTATTGATAGATTGACAAATTCACGTCTGTTCTATTTGGCTTCTGTGCGTGTTCTTCTAATTTTCCCATGTGAGAAGTAGCAGACCAATCACTACGTGTACTGATGACAGTCTTTTTTTATAATAAACTATTTGTTTTCTTGAAAGTTTATGGACTGTTATTGCATCCAGGGCCTGCTCGTGTGTTAGCTGCGTTCTACAGTCCTGTATGTTAACTCTAAAATTTTCAATGGGTATCCCGATTCACAAGGGTTTTGTTTTCGTTTCTCTTTTTTTTTTTTTTTATGGACGCTGATAACAAGCATGGACATAGCCAGAAATACTCTTAGCGTTATTCTTTATTTTGTTTATCCTCTCCGCGTGATGTAAGGGACACACCAAAAGTAATTGCTCTTCTAGGTAGCGCGATGTTCTTGTGATTGAATGCAGGCGTGCGGATTCATCGTCGCCAAATTCAGTGTGTGGTGGGCCAGGGTGGAAGAAAGTCAGGATTTTTTTAAAGTCAAATCGGCGCACGCCTCCTCATCACACTCGGTGCTGTCACCGTCACTCTCTGAGGACTCATCAGAGACTATCTCAGAGGCCTCCTTTGGATCATAGGTGTCTACTCCGCTAAAGTCACATTCACTGCCACTCGAGCCACAAGCCATTCCGTAAATTGCGGACGGAGTAAAGGTTGCCATGTTGAACTCGTAAAAGGCCGCGCAACATTCTCGCCCGCGCATTTCGCAAAAAAAAAAAAAAAAAAAAAAAAAAAATGCGTAGCGTCATTTGCGGCACCTTTCGAAAGGCGAAGAAACTAAGAATGTCTAGTTTACATTCCCGATGGCAGATGGCGCAAGTTAAAATTGTCGAGGCGCGCCCGACACCTGACCGCAAAGAAGAAATGGCCTGTCGGGGTTGTCCCCGACATTTGACCAGAACCTGGATATTTTTTTTTTTTTGTCGGGGGTCACCCGACAAATGACTCCAAAGGGTTAAACCAGATTTATGTAATTGAAATAGGGTTCATTTGATTTAAATAAGATTTATTTCATACAAACCGATGTAGGGAGGAAACAGCTATTCTTTATCACTATGTGTATTTTTAGCACGGCAGATTTATTGGACAATCCGTTCAATCAATGAAAACAGTACGTAAGGTAAGATTACTATACTTTTAAGCTTTTAAATTAAATTTAATAAAAATAAAAATATTGATGGAAACGCGCCAAACAAGAATAAAAGCAGCTTATCTTTTTGGTTAGGAAAAAAACTATTTGCGTCTTGTTTTCCAATCTTGTTTTCAATGGGACATTAATTTTCTAGTTTTTATTTTTTATTTTTATTTCCCTTTTTTATTTGCTTGCAGTGGTACATTACGTAACTGATGAACAAAGTGGAACGGAGGAAAATAAATCGATGACGCCCTGATTTGCCCAGAAGAGTTGTTCGATTGATCGTTTGATTTAAATCAAACCAAGTGCAAATTGAAAGCATCAAAATATAGAAAATCAGTAAATAAAGAAGTATTTGGGGATAGCTTTTGCGGGAAAAGATTTTAATAATCATAGTAAAACCGGAGTGATATAAACCACAATATAACTCACATTACAAATCACGATCTAAGACACCTTGATTATTTTTTCCCACTCTGGGTGTGACACGAAAAAAATCAGTCACAAGAATTTTAAGAACGCGGACGGCGATATAGAAGTGTGCGAATATTCAAGACATTTTAATATATCTACGAGTAAGATTAAAATTCGACCGACATTGAATCCAGTGGTAGTGCATAAGCATTTTGCGGATCCAATCAAGGTATATGTACCTTGATGTATATGTGTAAAGGCTGGTTTATGGTTCATACATAGGGTTGTTCGTTTTCGGGTTTTATATATATATATATATATTTTTTTTTTTCAAATCGGGGGGGGGGGGGGGGGGGGTAAAAATCGGGTGCTATTTCTCAAACTATTAATCGGGGAGAAATCGGGTTTTTTTGTGGAAACATTCTGGAATTCGGGGTTTTTCGGATTAAATTTACAAATGTACTCAGTAAAAAATTCAGATTTAAATTTACAAATGTACTCAGTAAAAGATTCAGATTCAGAAATCCACCTTCCGATGCCCCAACGCTTATTGGCGCTTTTCCTCAGCCGGCCTCCGTAGAATGTCACGGTGAGATGGGCGGTTGGTTGAGAGCAGTGTAGGGCGTCGACAGTGCTGCACGCAGTTTGAGAAATGAACTATAGGTCACTGTTGTCCCGAGGTAGGTAGATAGCGTGTGTGCAACGCAAACTCCGTGCAGAGTAAAAATAAATAGGTTGGTTATGTGGTTTTAGAATTCGAGGAGAAATCGGGTTTAACCCAATTCTTCTGAAACATGTTCGGGGTGTAAAAATCGGGTAAAATCGGGTTTTACCCAAAAACCAACAACCCTATTCATACCGCGCCGTTTTCCGACGTTAGGTTGCGTTACGAAAGTTTACGCCACAACTGACCGGGACACCGGTGTTTCATATTAAGCGTAACTAAAAGTTCAGGGATATAGCCTGGCACGCGACATTCGAGACACTAATGTTTCGGTGACTTATAGCCAGCCGGCAATGCCCTGGTGGCGAACCTGATTTCAGCAGTCCTCATGAGCACGTGCGCACCATGTCGCCAGTTCCTTCATACGGTTTTATGACATCGGAATCCTTGATAGTTCGAATTGTTTAGAGCATATTCTAGAGTTGTCACTTGGACACCTGTTTGAGTTGACTTTACTACTAGAGTGAATTGTGGGTAATTAGAAGTTAGAACCAAACTCTACATAGTAGAGAGCAATGCGCACATTGCAATGGCTGTAATGTGATATGCAAGCCTGGTGTAAAAAGGTGACAGGCAATTAAGTGAACATATGAGAAGGATATTTACGGTTCGCATGAGCTTTTTCTAAAGAAAACCGTTTGCATCCTGTTTTGTGCGCGCCGTCATACTTGTTACCAGACTCTGCATTAAGTTTGGTTGAAGGAACAAACAAAACTTTATGTTCTACGAAAATCCACCATTTGAGAACTCGCAGGTTTGGAAGGTTCTCGTAGCGACCACGCGTGCCGAACGGCTATGCATACGTACACTGCGAGTGCCCGAACGGGCCGACGTGCCTCTCGCTTGAAGGCCTGATCACCTGATTCTCGACGTCACAGCGAAGCAACAATTGCTCCGATTGTTCCCACAATTTTACGATGTGGCTGTCTAAGTGACTCGCAAAACAGCTTGTATAAACATAATATTTTGCCGAGTAGTCTGCAAAACGAGTTCGTCAGACCACTTTCTAAGCCTGGTACTTGATGTGTCGCACTGCAGTAATCCACTTCTGCCGCCGTGTCGCTTCCCAAGATCTCGAAGAGAAGCGGAAGAGTCTGACGCTTGAGTCACCTTTGCGAGTGTGGCGGTCTTTCGCGCAGCAGCAGCGACGTTTATTGTTCGGGAGAGCTTTAGGAGTAAGCGAGATGCCACAGGGAACCCGGTGAGGACATAGAAACGTGAAACTGGGACTTACCTTTACGAAAAACGGATCCCAAAAAGGCTCACGCCGATCCGAAATGCCACGTTCACACGTGGTTTTAAATGCGCTCAACCGCAGTACCCGCCATACGGGCCGTCGTGGCCTACCCAGTGTTTTATTTTGCAGCCGCTAGATGGCGGAACGTGTAGTGCCAAACTGCATTGCGTGTGGTCTATACCGACACGCGGGCTTGACGTCACGGGGCTGCGGCGGCGCTGCGATCGCGCCGGAGCCGTGTGGTGTGGGCAAAAGGGTGCAGGTCTTGCATGAGTGTCAGAGCATTTCAACATGCCGCGAAGCTGTGTAGCCGTTAGTTGCACCGAAAGGTGAAGAAAAAGTAGCGGGGTGAGTTTCCCCAAGTTCCCGGCAGACTCTGAAAGGCGCAGAACGTGGATAATATCCGTGGATCGAAAATAATAGTCGCCTGGCGCGGACGACCGTTCGTGCGGCAAGCACTTTCTTGAATGCAAGTGTGGCTTCCATATCAATCTCCGTCCTGAGGCTTGCTTATGTGCAGAAAAACCGTCGTCTGATCGAGACCTCCGGTATTTTGTTCCTACGGTGTTCGCGCACAAAGCACCGGCCAAGCGCTCGTCGGAGGCTCGCTACGCCCCCCGTGCTATCAAGCCGAAGGGGATCGGAGACAGAACGGCAGTGTTGTAGGCGTTACCGAAAAAAGTAACAAACTACGTTACTTCCTACTTGCGAATAAAATGAACGGGTCACCTCCCTACGTTACCTAAGAATAAAAGGGACGCGTTACCAATAAAAAGTGACTCACGTTACTTCTGCGTTACTTTTTAAATTGTGATTTGACCGTTTTTACTGTTGTGCGAAACAGGTATGCATAAACCAATATATCAAGAAATATTATGTTTATGCAAAAACTGAACATAATTAATTTATCTTTTTTTACAGTTTCACCTAAATACTCACGAGAACAAAAGCAAAGAAAAACGCAGTAAACTCAGAAATTCACATGGCTTGACGCCTAAAAACATGGAAAAAATTGAAGTATAATTTCTTTAAGACTTGGGAAGTAGTAACGAGGAACGCAAGTACGTCACTTGAAATAGTAACATAAGTGTGTTACACGTTACTGTGTCGAAAAAGTAGCGAGTAGGTTACTACTTCACTGAAAAAAGTTACGCGTTCCTGGTAACGCCGTTACTTGTAACGTGTTACCGCCAAGACTGCAGAACGGACAAAGCATTACTGCTTGTCATGCCTTGTGGTCATGAAGGTAGGAAAAATATCATAGCTTAACTCGAAGACGCTGTGTGTATTTAATCAATTAATAAATACACTCCCGCAGACCCAGTCTGCTGATCCCGCCGGCACTGCGGAAACCGGCTCGAAGTAATCGTAGGCCTCTAAAGACTTGTACGCCTGCACCGCGTCGGCCGTGAACTGGCTTGACAAAAAACCGAAATAAACGACGACGTAAGCCATCGACGTCGGTGGCAGAAACTTCACGTCGGAACTCCAGCAGGCCTTGTTTGCGGCGTAGGAATCATCGAAAGCAACGCCGCCCATGCACAGTTTGTTTCGATACCGCTGCTGTTCAGGCTCGGGTTGTGAGCTCAAATAGTCGGGCATAGCATACGAAAAGGTATGC